GGGGGGGGTATGGGAAAAATGGAGGAATTTTGATGGGGCAAAGGGGAAGGTGAGGTGGGGATGGGACATGGGGACAGGGAATATGGTGGAACGAGATGGACATTATTACCCTATGTACATGTATGACTGCACAAATGGTGTGATACGATATCATGTACAACCAGAGAAATGAAAAGTAGTGGTGCAATTGTGTACAATGAATCAAATGCATTCTACTGTCATATATACCTAATTAAAATTAATTAATTAATTAATTAATTAAAAAAAAGAAACCTTGGGTTAAGGGAACCAGATGTCCTGGCTTGCCTGAGACAAAGTTTATTCCACTGTCCCGAGGTAATTGTTAATAACACTCCTTCTACATCTCAGTTTGGAAGTGACATTATGTGATTACCCTAAAATAGTTACTGCTTGCTCACATTATGTGAACAGCTGTGAGATGTTCTACCGTGTGGTGATGACAGAATTCTAATAACTGCTCCTCAAGCCCTTCTCCCTTAAATTCCCCATTCCAAAAATCTCTGAGAAAACAAAATTGCATCAAATACTCATTTGGTGGCAAAACCTGGCCTAAACTGATGTGAGGCTACTGATGTGAATATTTGCAGGTTTCACAGCAGAAATATGAATATGTTGCCCTAGACCTTGCAGAAGCTGCAACTAATATGTGATAGATGACTTTCTTAAAATCCAGAAATTTTTTTAATGCCAAAATACATCTGACCCCTTGGCTTTCAGATAATGGAGACAGATCTGCAGTTTCATTCAAATCCTGGCACTTCTGTTTATTTATGGGTTAACATCAGGAAAGTTACAGTTTCCTCATCTGTAACATGGGGATAAACAGTAATACCCATGTAAGTACTGGCAAGTCATTTTATGTACGTGTTTAGGTTTGTGGAAATAGGAATTGCTTATTTGATGATAGTTAAGAACCAAAACCACAAAGACTGTGTAATACAGTTATAGCTCAATGAACTTACTTGTGGGGGCCAACTTGATTTTTCTGAAATACGTCAAAAGTTTGATCCACAAAATCAGAAACAAGTTTTTCTTTACTGTCCACTGTTCCAAGGATCAGGTTATATCCCTTTAACTCTGGGAACAGGACAGACTCCACCTAGAGAGCAGAAAGCACTTTTAGACATCACAGGACATCCACAAGAAGGGAGACAATACCAAAATGCAAGCTCTCTAGCAATGGACTCGTTTCCAGGGAAGCCAGCTCATTCTCCCTCTATTCCCTCTCAGGCAGTGCAGGAACCACCCTGCTGTTCTGGCTACCTCCATTCTCTCCTCTCTTCTTGCCTGGATCACTCCCTTTTTTTTTTCCTTTTAATTAGAGTATTATAGTTATGCACAGTAGTTGGGTTCATTTTGACAAAGTCGTACACAGTGGAATTTGATTTACTCCATTTCACTGCCGTTCCCCCCACCTTTCCCTCCTCTCCTTCATTCCCCCATTCTTCTTCTGCTCTACTGATCTTCCTTTCACTCATTTATTTATTTATTTTTGATTGGTGCTTTTTATATGCACATAACGATGGAATTCCCTGTGGTGTATTTATCCATGTTCGTAGCATATTTTTGTTACATTTACTCTGCATTTCCTCCCCTTTTCTGTCCTTCTCCTCCCTCCCTCTTGATCTCCTCCTTCTACTCCATAAGTCACATTCGATTATAAGGGAGTATTCTGGAAGTCAGTTTATGAAACCCCAGGACGAAGCTTTAACTATAACATCTGGGGGCTCGTCAGGGATCCATTTCTTCCCTACCCTCACGCCAAATTTGCCTCCAACGACGGGCCTTTGGACCTCGACCTGGGAGTAGAGGGGAGCTCCTGAGAGATGTTCCTCAGCCTTACTCCAAGGACGACTCCAATCCGTCCCTGCCTATATCTTTATGATTGGATTACTCCTCTTTCAGTACCCTGCGCCTTTCATGTCTCATATTTTTAGAGAGTCCTCGTGGGCCCCAAGGAGACCCTGGGTTTCCCTAAAAGTTCACCTTCTGCTGTGGCAGTTCTCCCACGCCCTAGAGAGCAGTCTGTGAAACTGAAAACAGGAGCAATCCTGTCCTTTCCAGGTAATTAATTGTGACATTCTGCTCTTTTCTCTGGCTTTCTGATCTTGGATTCCTTGGTCTTGACATCACCCTCAGTGCTCCCCTCTGGGCACTTCTCTGACTTTGCATTCCCTGGCGTATTGAGGAAGAGGACTCACCCATTAGGAGAGAGACTGTCCCTTGGCCCTTCTCCATAGCCAAGTATAATTTTTCCTCACTATGAAAGTAATGCAGCAACATGACAGCTAACAACGCTTTAAATTCTACTCATTGCATTTTAGTTTTATAAACATTCCCTTATTCACTCAGCTTCATTTTATTTCTGCGTCTCATTCAAATTTTTTGCGTCAGTCAGGGTTAGAGCATCCTTTCCCTCAGGTATACTGCCCAGACAAACAACTTCTAATATTTCCTTTTACTTTCTTTAGTAACTCTCACCAATATGCCTCTATCCTGCACCTTGAATGCTATTTATTTTATTTCCCAAAGTTTCTTACTGAATTCTCTGCCCCCTTTTCCCCCACCAAAAACTTAGGTTTAATCATAAACAAAGCCAGACTAGTAGGGAAAGGGGTAACTGCCAATCTGTCACTGCTCTTAGATGTAGTTTGTAGCTATTCAACCTAAGAAACTGTCATTTGATTTTTCATTGTTAACTAGAATAGCCAGAAGCACTCAGAGAGGGAGCCGTACTATGGGTGGACATCACTCTCGAGAGAGAACTCCGAGACCTTGTGCTTTTTTCTATGGTTTGGTGCAATCGCTTTCAAACCTGGCACAAATCTGTCCCCTAGGAGGTTGTCTTCTTGCCATTACAATCCACTAAGTAGGGGAGGTGGGGGGTGGCACCAGCCTCTGCTAGGCCTTCCTCAGCAGCATCTCAGCTGCTGGCTCTCCCGCCCCAGCTGCTCGAAAACATCACCCATCAACAGCAGGGAAGGAGGCCTCGAGGAGGGTGTATTTTAATCAGGTCCAAGCCCTACACTTATCATTTCAAATCACAGTCTTTTCATTCACTTCCTTCCTAGGAATACCGGTCACAGGCAAGCTGCCCTCTTTCACCCACTTCTGCACACCCAATTTTCATGTTCACCAAGTTTGGTTGAGATCAAAACTCCTTTGCTGCAGTCAGCTTCACAGGCTTCCCTACACACCTCTTCTCTAATCTTGATTTCTTAGAACTCTCTAAGTACAGGATTATCCAGAGAAGAGGACTCAAATGTGTGTAAGTGTATATTCTGGAGAGAACAAGAAAGAAAGAGAAAACAAGAATCCCCCGCTCTCTCCCCATGTGGGACTGGACAAGGTCCTCTTATCACACCAAACACCTGGAGGGAATCAGACTGGTGTTAAACAATGTGGATGATCCTGTCTAATGGCAAACGTTTGCTCATAACTGTCTGTATCTGATTAGCAATTCCACCCTGGGAAGTAAATGGGAAAGGGCTTGGGCCAGGAAGGGGAGATTTCTCTCTGGAAGTCTACAAGGCAAAGAAACAAACCAACGGGAACTTCAAGATGAAATTAAATCCAGTTTTACAAAAATTTCTGGCAAGTTCATGGCAAGCGATCCATAATGAATTATTAGCCTGAGTTGGATATGGCTTGGGACACATCTGCTCCTTGGGAGTTGGCATCATGGAAGGGACTATACTCCCTCAAAAACAACTCTTAATGCCCTTGCTAGAAGCACAGTCCTGGGCTGCATGGACCTTTCTTTATGGCTCACACAATCTTTCTGGGGGTTAAAGGGGTATATTCAAGATATATTCCCAAAGTAAAATTTCCTAAGTGAATACCATACCCATTATGTCTTATACTATCAACCACTTAAACATATTTTATTCAGTAAGTGAATAAAGATACAAATGAGGATTAAGTAAAATAAATACTATACCTTGGGGATCCCATTAGAGTTCTTAATGATTTCCAAGAAAGAATTCTTTATCAATTCCCAGCATGCATCAAAAGTTGGATTAAATACAATATTGGGCTCCTGGACTTCAAGTTTGATCACAATTAGCTGGGGTATGAAGAAATTCATCTCTTGGTAGGGCTCTATGAAGTCATTTCCATCCTTCAGGAGATATAAGTCATGGTAAATGTCACCAGATTGGGCCTTTCAAAGTCAAGGGAGTGAAAGTCATGCATTCACAGTCTACCTGAGCACCAGGGAGGGAAGTGAACCATACCAAATATTACGCATGTTTAAAACACAGGCTCCGCATAGTCTACCCCACTCTGAGCTCTTCCTGCTCCTCTCCTTTCTCAAAACTCTTGTTTGGTATTGTTTATTTTGCTTAGTGTTTACTGCACTCTAATTTCTAAAACCTTCCCACCCTTCAAAATTCAGCTCTGGGAAGCCTCCCTCTCTGGATAAAGTCTCCTCCACTGCTGAACTTCCATATTTCCACTTCCTTCATAGTATTTTATTTTTATCTTCAGCAAGATTTTAAACTTAAAGGGTGGGATCTATGTCTGATCCATCTCTCTCCTCCAAAATATCCAAGACAGTATTTGGTACGTAGTAGGTGCTCAACAAAAATTATTTAACTGAATCCCAAAGCATGGATAATTATCTGTACACCCCAATGGCACTGCTTATGAGTGTATGGTCTATTTCAGATGCTCAAAATGTCAGTCTTCCTAGAACAGAAACATTGACTTAAAGGTATTTCTAATTTTATTCAAAAAAAGTAGATAAGTTTCATAAATTAGAGTGCCTAATGAAATTTCCTTAGGGAGCTGTAAAAGACTTGTCCAGTAATTAAAGATTTCTAGATTTAAGGTAGAACATTTATTGCACATCTACTGTGTGTCAAATACTCATAAATTTCCCCTTTCTTCAGACACATAACTTTTACTTTTTTCTCTGAGTGGAATTTTAGAGTGAGATTTCTCTCCCTATCTGGGTTTCTTCTGCTTGGCAAAGTAGATGTTTCTAACGACACCTACCGAGTTGCCCTCCAGCTTAGAGAGCTGACATTGCAGTCACAATTCAGCAGCATTGTTTTCTATATTTGTTAGCCAAAGGTCCATTATTTACTTTATTTGTAAAAATACTTAAAACTTCATTTTTATTAGTCTTTTTAAGGTGAAATACAAACATGGTGATAGAATCCAAAAGACTCTTCTCCTTGATTCCTAGGTTGTATCTCAACTGAGGGGAATTCTGTCGTGCTTTGAAAACTAGGACTTTGTGCTCTAAATTTCTATTTTTACTTCACCAAAGCAGTTTCATGAAGAAAGTTACTAGCTAGATAAACAGAGCCTTTTCTTTCTGGAGGGTTCCCCTTTCAAAGAAATGAGTCACTATAGTCAGTGGATACACACAACAGTCCCTAAATATCAAGTCATGGTTGATATTAGACCTTTTCAACTCCTTCTTTGTACCCGAGATGACAAAAAGTGCCCTCAACCTTACTATAAGAAGCTTGTGTTCCATTTTATGCAATCTTTCTTTAAAATTTCTTAACAACTTCTCCAGTTTGGTAGATGTTTACCAGGAAGGTTTACTGTGTATTTAGACATAATTTTTGTAAACTAACAATTGCCCATCGTGGCTCCAATCCAGAACTTTACTTTTGGGCTTGGTTTACAGCTGAGGACATACGTGATGGCATCCTGGTTCTAACAAGGTTGTTTTCCTCCGAGAGGACACAGTGTGGATTCCCAGCATACCTTGTGTATCATGAAGAGGGCAACGAGGTCCTCGAGGGACTTGATGACCAGCTCTCTGAGCTGCAGTGACATGAAGGAAGCAACCGAAGCAAAATATTCCTCGATGCTTCGAGAGGAGTCATAGTCACTCTTGGGAGCAAAGCGGATCCAGTGCTCCTTTTGTGAGACAAAAAGCTGGGCACAGGTAGGGATCCACCTGTGGAGAAAGAAGAGAATCCACGTAAGAAGCTTTCTGAGCTCCGAGAAGCCCTCTCTGCCATCCCTCTGCTCTCTGCAACCAGGCAGATGACTCATTTCCTATTAAGTGGTCTTGTAAATTGGTCATTTCATAACCCTGGTTGCTTCACCTGCAAACACCCCTTTCTTGGAAGCAAATAAGATTTAAATTGAGAGGCTGTTCTTCCATTGATCATACCCAAATGCACAGAGGGTGTGGGTGGCAGGTCCTGCTGACAGTCTATAGCTTATTCTTTATAATCAGAGATTGGGGTACAGTGGCTTAAAGAACTAGAATGTTCTCTCTTTAGCAGGTACCTGGCCTCTGATTTAGATTTTGCAGATAGAAAGAGAAGAAAGGAAATAAACTTGGGAGAAAAAAATCCATTGTGACAGTGGATACTCAGAGTTGTGAGTAGAAATCAGATAAGAAGAAATGGGTGCCTTATTGTTTGTTTGTTTGTTTTTAATCCTACTTCTCCCAATTTCTAATTCACAGTGGGAGCCACCGCGTATTTCATCCTATTATGTTTGTTCTCTGATCTACTCTAGCAATCAGAGAAGTATCTAGCAATAGTCACATCTGTGAAGAGAATACTTAAGATTAATTGAGCTTCTACTATGTGTCAACAATGACGTACGCATTTTCTCTGATAATCAGTGGGTATTATTATCACTATTTTACATAAAGTCATGTCTCTGACTCAGGATATAGACCTGCATGCTTTTGCAAAGGGAAAAAAAAATCTGTCTAAGTATCTGAAAACCCTCTAACTTTGCAACCTTGAGGCTCTTCCCGTGGACCATCTGAATAAAAGTTCTTTAAATACGTTGTCCTATAGCCCACTGAAATCTAAAGGATTCAGAGGAAGGAAATGAGAGTGGTATCCTCATAAGGAAGAGCAACAAGAGAATTTCCAAAAGGCAGAGGGAGCCTGGGAGCCAGGGACAAAGAGCAGTTATACATGAGGCTTCCAGGGAACATGGAAGGAAGGGGACAGAGAAACACGTCAGTGGGAAGTCACTAGGGTCTGTGCAACCCCCATATGGGAAACCAATTTCCATTTTTGAATGTTCCATCTTTAGGGGGCTGTGGTGCAGCCCCATTCAGAGGCCAGGCACTGACTTGGTGAGGAGAACTTGGCGAGCTTCTAGGCAGTGGTTCTGGATCACTTCCCAATATTCGCTCGGCTGCAGAGGCAGTTTCCCCTCCAGTATTTCTGCTGTTCGCACGAACCTGAGGTCTTTAAATCTGCCAAAAGAGAGGGAGAAACCTCCTAAGCTGAAAAAGCCAATAATGAATTTTACAGGAAAAGTTCAAAGGGCAAATGCTCTTATTTTTCAATGAGAAGAAATTGAAGCAGAGTAAAACTCATTTTTTAATTTTTGTACTGGACATTTAACCCAGGGGTGCTTTACTACTGAGCTACAACCCCAGTCTTTTTGTTTTGTATTTTGAGACAGGGTCTCACTAAGTTGCTTACAGCCTAAGTTTTTATTTTGAGACAGGGTCTCACCAAGTTGCTGAGACTGGTCTTGAACTTGAAATCCTCCTGCTTCAGCCTCCCAAGCTTCTGGGATTATAGACGTGTGCTACTGCACCTAGCAAAACTCATTATATCCTAAAAACCTGCAGCTCTAGTCTTTTGGCTAGTCCAAAAGAATTCTTGCAAAGAGGAGACCGATGAGTTCACTCAGCAGGTGGTTATGAGCCTTCTTACGCACCTCCCTCTGGGGAGTGGGGCTTTGGCACCAATGGTGTTTGGCTGGCTGGGAACTTGATTCAAAAACACTATCCAGGGGCTGGGACTGTGGCTCAGTGGTAGAGCGCTTGCCTAGCACATGCAAGGTCCTGGGTTCCATCCTCAGCACCACATAAAAATAAATAAGTAAAATAAAGATAGTGTCCAGTTACAACTAAAAAATTAAAACATTAAAAAAAAAAAACAGTATCCAAAGTTCTTTGCAACAGAGAAAATGCAGAGGAGAGGGACAAGCACCATGTTCATCATCCAGTGGGCTTCACCCCAACCTCAGTATGGCCTCCGGGGTGACCTATTTAAGGCAATGCAGAGGACTGCCTTGATTGGAGCCACTGGGACAGTGAAGAAAGGCCCACCCAGGAGGAGACCTGAAGGTCTCTCCGCCATCAGGGGGGTCTTTTTGTTTTTCTTAAGTATATCTCCAATTTCTTTATTGATTCTTTTTAGTTATACATGACAGTAGAATCCACTTTGATAATATTATAGTTGCATGGAGTATGTCATTCTAACTAGGGCCCATCTGTGGATGTCCACGGGGGATTCACCACGGTTTACTCCTATATGTACTCGGGAAAGTTATCTCAGATTCTTGCCACGATCTTCCTCTTCCCTTCCCTTTCTTCCCCTTGGTCTAATCCTCTGAACTTTGGTTCTTCTCCTCCACCTTCTTATTGTGGGTTAGCTTCCACCTACTAGAGAAAACATTCATCAAGTGGCTCTTTCTAAAATCTAAGCCAGATCATGTCACTCTGCTTGAAACCCTCCAATGACTTCCCCTATCAAGCCAGAGTCCTTGACTAGGGCACACAAGGTCCTCCACAGCCTGTGCCTCTCTCCTACTCCCTCTCCTCCCTGTCACCTCATCACCTCTCTGCCCTCCTCTCAGACCACCCTCCCCAACTCACCTGCTCTACACTCTTCCTAGGACCCCCCCCCCCCAGCATACTACCGCCTGGGTCCTTTGTAACAGGTTGCTCCTGCTGTCTGCAATTCTCGCATCCCCAGGACCCAGCGGTCACAGAGGGATTAATTTACCCCAAATCACATAGTCCACCAGTGACCAAACAAGAACCAGAACCCCAGCAGTCTAGTTCCAGAGTGGATTCTATAAATTATTACTATACATTTCTGACTAGTCAGAAAATTACTTTTCTCTAACATCTCTAATATCTTAGAAAACTGAATTTTGTTCAGAAAAGGGAATGTAGTTATTTCTTATCATTGGTGGGTTCTCCTAGATTAACTTCACCCTTGGTCCCCCCTCATTTTTTTTTTCATACCAGGGATTGAACCCAGGGGTGCTTAAGTAAAAATGAGCTGGGTGCAGTAGCCCATGTCTGTAATTCTATGGGTTGCAATTTCAAGGCCAGCCTGGCAAATTCAGTGATGCCCTGTCATTTATTCATAAACAAATGAATAAACAAACAGATAAATTTGTAAGAAAAGCATAAGAAAAACAAATAGGTTGTCTAAGCAACAAGGCTCTCTTCAGACTAAATGTGTTAAAGACTAAAGATCCTCAAAAAAAAAAAAGCATAGGATTTGCTGATAAGTTTAGCCAATCAAAATCAGGTCCACATATCTGCCTCTTATTTTTCTAACAAAGAACCCAGATGTTGGTAGTTAATCATTTCATTAGCCTGCCCTTTCAGTGAACTATCCTGCCAGGACTTGTACCCCTTCGTAAGGGGCCTAAAAAGAACTTCACAGTCTCCTCGTCTTCCTCCAGAACAATCAGTGAATGGATAAATGGAATCTGGCCATATTATGGATTATTATTCAGCCATAAAAAGGAATGTAGTACTGATATGAGCTTCTATGTACAGAAACATTGAAAACATTATGTTTAATGAAAGAAGTAGATGCAAAGGCCATATTTTGTATAATTCCACTTATAGAAAATGTCCAGAATAGGCAAATCCACAGACTAGCAGTTGCCAGGGGCTGAGAGGAAGAGAAACTAGAGTGTGACCACTAACAGGTACAGGGTTTCTTTTGGGGTGATGAAAATATTCTTAAATTAGTGGTGAGAATAGCACAAATTTGTGAATATACTAACAACTAACACACTGTGAACTTTTAAAGGGTGGATTTTAAGGAATGTGAATTACAGTTGGCATTCCATATCCGTGGGCTCTGCAGGCATGGATTCAACCAACCACAAATGGAAAACATTCCAGAAAAAAAAATTGCTTCTGTACCAAACATGTACAGACATTTTTTCCTTGTATTATCTCCTTTTATGTATATAGCATTTACTAGATATTATAAGTAATCCACAGATGATTCAAGTATGTGGAAAGTGTGTAGATTATATGCAAACACTATTGCCATCTTCTATAAGAGACCTGAATATCTGTTGATTGTGGTATCTGTGAGGGATCCTGGAACAAATCTCCTGTGAATAGAAAGTGACCACTGTATATCTCAATTTTTTAAAAAATGATTGAGAGAAAAAAATGTGAATCTCCCCGTCTCTTATAGACTCCAGCAATTCCTGGGGCCAATTTAGTCACTGATAAACAGAGCTGAGAAACCCTAGCTTGCTGGCTGTGTTCCATAAAGGAGACCCAAGCCCCTACACACCTCACAGAGGCAGATAAGCAAGCACACAATTACAATTCAGGGTGATAAGTGTCATGATGGAGCTTACGGTGAATCCATGCTTCCTGGGTACTTAGGTTATACCAGACACCGTGCAAGGCACTTTGCATGTATTCAGTGGTTTATTCTTCCTAGCAACCGTACAAAGTAGGAACTCTCAAACTTCAAGATAAGAAAAGGAAGACACAGAAATGATCTAGTACACACACATTCCCTATGAAACAGCAGAGCTAGGCTGTGAACCTGAGCTGGGACTGGCTCAAGGCATCTGCTCTTTAACCAAGTTCAGTGCACAGAGGCACTAGGTACTCCAGGAAGACAAAGGACGGCCACTTAACCCTGCATGAGGGGTTCTCAGTCACAGTTCATACGCACTTTCAGTCTAGGATTTTTCATCTTATTATTATTATTATTATTATTATTATTATTGTTCGATTCATTTTGCTGCAGTCAGAGCAAAATGTCACTGTGCCCCACCTAAGAGGCTTGCTTCTATGTGGAAATAATGAAGAAAGGAGAGGACAGGAGGGGAGATACTTCTTACTCTTCAAACCACAGGTTCTTCAGGATGAGCATCATCGGGTTCACCGTGTGCAGGTGCTCCTCGTTCCACTTCTTGTTATTCCTGTAGGTGGCATGCCAGGGCACAGGGGCCCGGATCACTCTCTGAGGAAACACGCGTGGGATGCTGTCAATGAAGAGTCTTTTTTTCTCCAGTGGGTCCATGAGGATGTAATCAACTAGAACCAAGAGGGCAAACACCCTGTTATTAGGCAGGGACCTTGAACATCCCATGCTCCTAGCTTTAACAATGCAAATGAGCCTCTGTCCATTTACACTGGGAGATTCCCCTTTGTTTGCAAGGTCATAGGCCATCCTTGGCTATCACTCCGTTGGGGAAGCTCCACTCTGTTGGTATGTCTTTTCTTTTTGAAGGTATCTCATGGGAAGGAGAAGCACTTAAACCTGGGATCCCCAGCATCTTGCGTGACAATGCACAAGCATGCTAATACCTACTTTATCGACAGTTGATTTCTGATATCAAGACACTTATCCCAAAATCAACAAATTGATCACACCCGTTACATACAAATGCCAACTTAGAGACCAGATGTTTCTAAGGCTAAGGAAGGATGGGTAAAAGCTTCCTAGAGAAGAAACACTAGTTCTGGATCTGAAAAAAGTGAACAGGAGTTTATTAGGAAGAGAAAGGAAGAGCATAAAGAGATGAAGTGCCATCTCTTTTAGGTCTGCTGAAGGTGCTGTGAGCTACGTATGCTGCAGCAGAAACATCAGGTACAAGTGAGGAGGTTAGAGGTGATGCAAATGGAGGAGTAAATTGGAGTGAAGGACCTCATGTGTTTATTTTCAGGAGCTGGGTTCTGTATGATCATAGACAGGGGCCATTACACTGACACCATTAGAAAGCTAGTTAGAAAATAAAAATAATCAAAGAAATTGGTAAAGAGAGAATAGAAAGGTGGAAAACTAACAGGATCACCCCTGTGGTTGGATGTGCTTCTCCCACTGCCCACCCATTACCAAATCCTTCCCACTGACCTATCACATGCACAAGACACTGGGCTAATGATAAGTTGAATGGGGATCAGTAGCACATCCATCTCCATCCAAGAGCTAACAGTCTGACACAGGAGACAAGACCCAGGAGAAATGAAAGGACAGCCCCAGTGTGAAGTAGTAGTAGAGAAATAAAAGCACAGGAGAACTTGGAAGGGCAAATGAGTTGAAAGTAGGAACAAGAGGTGCTACGGGTGCAGAGAACAAAGGGACTATTGATGGTGGTAGGGAGAGAAAAAAAACAAAACACTTGAGTGAAGAGGTAGGTCTTGAGCTGGGTTTTGAAGTCTGAATGTGCTCTTGCTACTCACACTATGGTCCCTGGTGAGTCCCACTGGGTCACCTGGGAGCTTGTTAGAGATGCAAGATCTTGGCTCCATCCCAGAGGCTGATCTCCTGAGTCAGAATCTGCCTTTTATCCCCAGTTTCTGTGAATGCACACTGATGGTGTGGCCATCGGTGTTGGTGGCGGGGGTGAGGGGACATTTGAATTAAAGGTAAACTCATGTTTTAGGCACATTCAGTGGAACCAGGTGGCAAATAATAAAGTGAGGGGAAAGCTGATGCCAATTTATCCTTACCAATGCTTTTCTTTTTTTTATTAATTTTTAAATTTATATATGACAGCGGAATGCATTACAATTCTTATTGCACATATACAGCACAATTTTTCATATCTCTGGTTATAAACAAAGTATATTCACACCAATTTGTGTCTTTATACATGTACTTTGGATAATAATGTCCATCACATTTCACCATTATTTCTAACCCCATGCCCCCTCCCTTCCCCTCCCACCCCTCTACCCTATTTAGAGTTCATCTATTCCTCCCTGGCTCCCCCTCTCTACCCCACTGTGAATCAGCCTCCTTATATCAGAGAAAACATTCAGTATTTGGTTTTTGGGGATTAGCTAATTTCACTTAGCATTATCGTCTCTAACTTCATCCATTTACCAGAAAATGCCATTGTGTGTGTGTGTGTGTATGTGTGTGTGTGTGACATTTTTTTTTATCCATTCATCTATTGAAGGGCATCTAGGTTGGTTCCACAGTTTAAAGCAAGAATCAATAAATGGGATGGACTCAGACTAAAAAGTTTCTTCTCAGCAAAAGAAACAATCAGTGAGGTGAATGGAGAGCCTACATCTTGGGAGGAAATCTTTACCCCTCACACATCAGATAGAGCACTAATCTCTAGGGTATATAAAGAACTCAAAAAGCTAAGCACCAAAAAAAACCAAATAACCCAATCAATAAATGGGCCAAGGACCTAAACAGACACTTCTCAGAAGATGATACACAATCAATCAAAAATATATAAAAAAATGTTCAACATTGCTAGCAATTAGAGAAAGGCAAATCAAAACTACTCTAAGATATCATCTCACTCCAGTCAGAATGGCAGCTGTTATGCATACAAACAACAATAAGTGTTAGCGAGGATGTGGCGGAAAAGGTACACTCATACTTTGCTGGTGGGACTGCAAATTGGTGCAACCAATATGGAAAGCAGTATGGAGATTCCTTGGAAAACTGGGAATGGAATCACCATTTGACCCAGCTATCCTTCTCCTCGGTCTATACCCAAAGGACTTAAAAACAGCATACTACGGGGACACAGCCACATCAATGTTGATAGCAGCACAACTTACCAATGCTTTTCATGAGGCTACTGTAATAGTCGTTTTCCTTCTCTTCCTCAAGGGTGACCAGCAGCGGTACCAGGGAGGGATTTGTCAACAACGCAGTAGAAATCAGCTTTGAAATCCGAACCATCACTTCATTCTCTTGGGGTGTAATCATGTCTTTTTGGATTCCATTAGTCAAATAGTAACAGTATCTCTTTCATGAACAAGTCATCAGCAAGAAAAAGGTCATGATTGAGTAAGTGTGCCCATCTGTCCCACCCATCACCTGCCAAGGGACCCTGTTCATGCAGTACCCAACTCCACTCTTCATTTGCTACGATCCTTCTTTCTGGCCTGGCACATTTTTGCAACAAGATCACTGGCAAGTTTTTCCCATAGCTCTGGAAGATTCAACCAAAGCCAGAGAGATTTCACTAGGGGCAATAATGAAGGACTTGTCAATGCCTTGCTTAGTATACACTAAGTGACTTTTAAAAAGAGGAATGACAAAATCCGAAAATGACTCAAATAATTCACCCTCCTGAACAACAAAGATCCTCTACAAAGCACTTTAATCCCGTGGCTTGTAGTTGTCAGTGAGGAAAATATCCCCAAAGTCCTTAGGATGTTTTTCCCCCCCTGTAATCCAACTGTGGGCTTTTGAATTTAAAAATCATAAACACAAAAACTAAATAAAAATGCTTGATGTGACCTGGGGACTTCAGGAGGTTGTTTATGTAGGGTTTTTCCCTAAATTGCTGGTAGCTTTGAGGAGGAATAATTTCAGATGAACAAGAGGCACAAAGTTTGGACAAGAGGTGTCATGGTTTGGATCTGGAATGTCCACAGGCTCAGGTATTAGAGAATAGAGAGGTGAAAAGATTGGATCAAGAGGGCTCTGACCTCATCAGTAGATTAATCCATTTAATGGATTAATATGTTGAATGGATTTACTGTGCACTGGTGAAAACAACAGGCAAGTGGAGCATGGCGGGAGGAAGTATGGCCCAGGCCATGGCCTCTCTGTCCCTGACCCTCTCCTGTCTCTCTCTTTCTGCTTCCCGGCTGCCAGGAGCTGAGTGGCTTTGCTCTACCATGCCTGTCTGCCATCATGTGCAGCTTTCCTCAAGTAATGGAGTCAGCCGACCAGGGACTGAGACCTCTAAAACTGTGAGCCAGAATTAGCTTTCCCTCCTCTAAGTTGTTCTTGTCAAAGCTATGAAACACTAACACAGGAGGTTTCAGCCTCAACCCACTTGCAGCCCACTTCTTTCCAACCTTAATGGTAGCAGCTTATACAGGACACTCCTTGACTTATAATGACGAATCTAAGTTGAAAATGTATTTACTACACCTAACCTAACAAACACCCTAGCTTAGCAACACAGCACACTGTGGATATTGCTTGTATCCTCTCATGATTGTGTGGATATCTGGGAGCTACAGTTCACTGCCACTGCCACGTACAACAAGAGAGTGTCATGATGCATATGTATAGCCCAGGAAAAGATCAAATTTCACAATTAGAAGTAGAGGTTCTACTAAATGTGTATCACTTTCACACCATTGTGAAGTCAAAAAATCCTGAAACAAACCATCCTAAAGCTCATCTGCAAAGGACAGTAGTGCCAAACTTCCCTGACTTTAAGAACCACCTAGGTGGGCAGCAGCAAGTAGGGTAATGTTAAAATGAAGCTAACCAGGCCCTCCTCAGGTAGTTAGGGAGGTTTAACAAGCACCTAGGTGAGTCCTATCTTCAGGCAAGTTTAAGAATCGTTGCGTAACTCTTTAAGAGCACAGAGACTTGGGAACAGCCAAATCTAGATTTGTCTCTTACTGGGTAACCTTGAGCAAGTTGCTCCATCAGTCTCCACCCCAATTTCCACACCTGGATGATGGGGATAATCATGGTACCAGGTGTCTAGTGGTTTCACGAAGCTAAAGGGTCTAGCATGGAATTTTGACAATTGCATATACCTAGTTGCTGTGGGGTTCTATTATCAATTATTTTATTACATACTATAAAACCACAAGCTGTTTGTGCTAAAGCTTTGGTCTTTTAAGAAAAGGGTTGGAAACTCAAACGTCCACCTGGAGCCAGGCAGGTAATGCTAATGAATGAAAGTTGGGTGGACATAAGAGTAGAGACTGGTGAGGACGAGGACCAGTTAGAGAATTTATTTCTCATTTAAGGGAGGAAGTTAACCAGCTCAACTACAAATATTTTAAATTTTTTAAAAAGAGATTGGAAACCTAGCTTAGGTGACTTTTCCCTCATTTTCAAAATACATCCACAGGCCACATTCAGCTTATGATAGGGTTGTCAGGGGGGAAAAAAAGGACATATTGGGATATAATGATACTAAAAAACTACTCATTATTTATCTGAAATTCAAATTTGACTGGGTGTCCTGTTTCTTGTTCTGCAAAATCAGATAACTCTAGCTTATGGTTCACCTATGTTCTAAGAGGATCCAAGGGCACCAATTTCTAAGACTTAGTAGGTCAGAGTACTCTCTTTCTATATTTCTCTCAGTCTCTCTCTTTTGCTGTTTCTCTCTCTCTCTCTCACACACACACACACACACACACACACACACACACACAGTCATTCAGGTCTATCATGTGGTTTGGACCAGTTTGAATCCCTCAGATGCCAAGAACAACATTTAGCAAACTGAGGGAAAAGGGCCAGAAAGAACGTACCTCCATGTCTAATTCAGATGGTTTTTTCTCTTTACTTTCTATTTCCATCTCCTGCTGCAACATCACATCAATCTGCTGTTCTGGACTCATTGGTCTGCTTCCAGGAAGGCTGACAGCTGTGTCCTCCTCCTTCTTCATGGATGAGTATGTGGAGCAGGGCGACTTGGTCCTGGAAAATAGAAACAGCTCAGCCCTTGGTACTCCACAGAGAAACTATGGCATTGGACCCACTTCCTCCAATCTAGTGAGTGTGGTTTGGTAACAGAAGACTCTTTCCTCTGTATCATCTAATGGCATGTGTGTGTGCTTCAAAGACGACCCCAACCACTGAACACCACGAAGATATGTCACACTGCTCTTGCTCAGTTGGTTAATTTATTTTCACTTAGAACCTGAAAGTTTTGAATTAAGGCAGTTGGTGAGAAAAAAACTAAGTTGCTGGGTGAGTGGGAATGCTTTGAAACCAAGAAGCAGAGTGTGGCTTTAATGAGACCACAATCTTCTTAGGTTCAGCCCAGTGGCCTTCCCTCTCTGTTGTCCACAGTGATACCTTACCCAGTAAAATCCTCTTTGTCTTTGAGACAGAACTTCATTCTCTTCTTGTTGGGCTCTGATGAGCTTTTGGTTGCTGCAAGACATCAGTGAAGAAAAGAAAGACATCAGGAGTAGGCAGTGGTTTGGGGCCATTCTCTGTCCACAGGGATATAACTCTTAGGACAGCCCAGGAGCACACTAAGGGGAATGGACAGAGTGTGGGGCACCAGAGAGGAGAGATGGGCTCTGCTCCCACATGTATCACTAATTACTTGTGCTACCTGAAGGAAGTGATCTTCTCACTCCAGGCCTCAGCTTCCCCAGCTGTAAAACGGGGTTAAGCATACCTCCCACTCACTCAGCTATACATTCCACAACTATTGATGACTGCCTACTCAATTGGCTCCCAACAACGTATGTCCAATTTCTAAGCATCAGTTGTATTATTATTTAATATTTCTCTTTAAATAGATTCAGGCTTTTAAACTTAGTACATTTATTTTTAGAGGAAATTTTATATGATCACAAATAGGAAAAAAAAGTATCATTTGTAACAAGTATATAATAATTACAAACAGAAAACAGTATCATTTGCAATAAATAGAAGGTAACTATGAATAAAATCAATGTTATAAAATAAATTTTATATCAAACTCATCATTAAATTTAGTAATATCAATTATAAATATTAAATTCAATAGTATCCATGGAGGTATTATTAATCTTAAGTTAATATTTATTAAATTATTATTTATTGAATATTAAATTTAATCATATTGTTAAATTATTATTATGTTATATACTAAATAGTATTACTTGCTAAAGGCTTTAGCCCAAAGAAATTGATAATTAATAAAAAAAAAAGTTAAACACATACTAATATTAAATTGACACTTGGAGGAAACCAAGAGAATTGAAGACTCCCAGTTAAGATGTATTTTGAGTTCACATTTTGAGCTTCTTAATATTCTCTAAACACAATAATAGACAAAATACTCTTTGCATTTGTTTACATATTTGTTTGCTTTTTGCAGTGCTAGGATTGAAGCCAGGGCCTTGAGCACACCAGGCAGGTGTTCTACCACTGCTCCACATCCCCAGCCCGACACCCACAATGCTGGAACCTAGAACCAGAAACCAGGACTGAAGCGAGGCTGTAAAGAGAGCAACACTGCCACGCAGAAAAAGCACATGTGTCATCGGTTCATATGGCAGCTAGACGTGACTCAGAAAGGTTCACCGGGCCTCAGAGACCAGATCTATAACATCCCTGAGTATCACCTTAGGAAGGGAGCCTCAGCATCAGTGTATGACAGTGGGGACAACATGGGGTCCTGAAAGGCCAGATGGAGACACAGGAAAAAAATTAGATTAAGAAGAATTCATCAAAATAGTCCACACTACATGACTGCATTTACATGTGAGAACAAGAAAAACTTATCTGTGGTGACCGAATTAGGAGCTGGTTACTCTGGGGTGGGATGGTATGAGGTAAGGGAGAGATTTGATTAGAAAGAGGCACAAATGAACTGTCTCTAGTGATGGTACTTCTCTATATCATGTTTGGGTGGTACTTAGATATATGTTATAAACATATAGATGTGTTATATATATGTTATAAACAATTGTCAAATACCACTGAACTCAACATTTAAGATCTGCATGTATTATTGTCTGTAAATTATAACTCAATAAAAAAATAGAGGGAAGCATGCAGCAAGAAGGTTGGAAGCCTTTCAACATAGGCCTGCAAACTAAAATCTCAGTACACATGAGAAAAAACAATACCAAGAAAGATAGCCAATAAACTCAACAGTCGAGGGAAAGATGAACACAATGGAAATAATGCAGCTATACAAATACTGTTTCAAAACAAATATTGAACATCCTCCAAATACAAATATCCTTTAATGAATAATAAGCATAATTCAACTCAAACAAGAACTTGAATGACAGATACTTATCAATTTCTGTCTTGCTGGCTGTCTGTTTTGCAGAAAGCATGTTAGCAGTTCATCCTCAAGACTCTGACTAGGCTGAAAATTTTTTGTGACAATTAAATCTGGGAGGTATTAGCACTAATTATTCATAGATAAAAAATTTTTCAAAATACACAATGGGAAAATATAATTATTACAATAATTACTATTTAAGAAAAGTGTTAAATGATGACCATTTAGACTGAATGCTTCTGCTGAAACAATATCCTGGTATTTGAAGGTAAGGTCTTTGGGAGTTAGTGCCCTTATAAGAGAACCCAGAGAGAACACAGTCATCTCTGAACCAAGAATAGGCCCTCATTAGAAAATGAATCTGCTGATACCTTGATCTTAGACTTCCCAGCTTTCAGAATCATGAGAAACAAATTTCTGTTGTTTGTAAGCTACCCGGTCTATGGTACTTTGTTATGGCAGCTTGAACAAATAATGACCATGATATTAGTAATTATAACATCAAACTTAAGTTTCCAGGTATAATGATCTTGAATACTTTGGTATTTAATTGGTATTTAATGTTTGCTGTGTATCCTTAAAGCAGAAGCATGCAAAGATAGCATCATAGAGATGTGCATATATATTTAATAAACAAATTCTGAAAGGGTTATGACCATAAGAATAGAATAAGAAATTAGGAGAAACCATACATATAACCCATTAGAAAGTATGAAAATGAAAAAAATACTGTTGTGAAATAATAAACACTTATGAGACATGATAAAATAAAGATAGAGCAGAGTTGAAGAGAAAATTAGTAAAATAGAAGATATAATAAAGGAATTCACTTAGCACAGGAAGAAAAATTTTAGAAAATGAGAATTTGAGACAGAATCGATTGAGTGGCTCCAAAGTACATATAACAAAAATAAAATTACTAAAGCATATCCTTAATCAGATATATGGGTACTTGGTGAGATAAAATAAATTAATATCTGTAAGGCACTGTGGTAAACAGCTTCCAAGATGGCCCCCAAGGATCTCTATTTCTTGGTACCATGCTTTCGTATAATCCCCTTCTCTTGAGTATGGGCTAATCTAGTGATTCATTTTTAACAAATAAAATATGTTAGAAAATGATGGAATGTCATTTGGAAGATTAAGTTTTTGGAAACAGCATGATTTCTGTCTTGTTGCTCTGTCTTGCTTTCCCCTTCACTCACTTCAAGGGCTGCCAGAAGCCATGCTACTGACTGTCCTATGGAGAGGCCCACATGGTGAGAAACTGGTGTCTATGGCCAACAGCCAACAATGATATAAGGATATGAATGAGTTTTTAGTTGCTTTTAGATGACAGTGGCCCTGGGCCCTGGCTGACATCTTGACTGCATGCTCATGAGACCCTGAGCCAGAACTACCCAGTTAAACCAGGCCCAAATTCATGACCTGCAGAAATTGTGAAATAATAAATACTGGTTGCTTTAAGTCATGACATTTCTTGATAATGTCTGATGCAGCACTCATGGTACGAATACATAGAACGGTGCCTGGTATATGCAAATGATCCATTAATATGAGTCATGAGAATAATTTCCATTTCATAGATGAGGAGGGTTTGGCTCTATGAAGTTATTCAAAATTAGCTGAAGAAGAGGTAGTAGAGCCAGAACTAGAACCTAGGAGTAGAAGTTCCACTGAAAAGCTCCATTCTACACAAAACATTGCACACTGCCACAAGTACCTGATGGCAGCCCCAGACTAGCCCTGTTCCTAGGGATACTAATGTTGACTGGCTGATAGACCTTCAGCAGGTCTTTCATCTTCAGGTCTTGGGCCATCAAGGAATAGTTGTTGGCAATGGAGTCGCTGGGTCCACGGTGGTGGTTCTGCTCTTTGAAGGGCACAGCCAGGGTCCATGATGTGCGTTGCATCAATGGGGGATAAAAGCTGTGCGACATGACAGTCTAAAAGAGAAGCAATGCAAAGCAAGACTTGATCAGAGACATCTCCCATGAGCCTGAGCTCTGTTCACATGAGACAGAGTTTCACACCCTTTATGCTATGCATCTCCACACAGCACTTAGTGGAAATATTTTCTGAATAGACACAAATTGCAACTCTCTGACTACTGTAAGCATGATTTCTAAGGCCAAGGCTAACTGCTGGCATTCAACAATAATTTTGTGAGTCAGGTGATTTGCATCTCTTGCTTTTATTTCTTATGGACATGACTATAAGAGAGGAAGAATGACCCTCCTTTTACAATGGAAGATGGAGTAGTTCGGAGAGTTTCAATTAGACAGCAGGTTAATGGGAAAGCCAGATTCTAACTCCCCTACATACAACTGTGTGGCTCTTTCTCATAACCAAAGCCACTAAACCCATTTGTCAAGTCAGACTGTTTGTCCCCTACCAGCACCTACTGAATACCAACAGAAGGTATTCAGCAAGTTCTTTACCTTGCCACCCTCAACAGCAGGTCTGGCAGCCAGAGGCACATACCTGATAGAGTTCAGAAGGTTCCTCATTGGCTGAGGCAGGCAGCGGGGGCAGTTCTGGACGTCCCTGGGAGTGGCTCATGTGATGTATGGAGTCACTCCTGGAGAACTGTGGAGAATGGGAACAAAGGCACTTGTCAGGAATTAGGAGAATTTTTCTATATCCCTGAAGGGTTAAGGACTAGTTAAGGATTAAATAAATCCCCAGGAAAGATTTTAGGCACACAGTTCTGCCTGCAGAACACCCTTTCCACCCTCATTTATTAAATATATTTATTTTTTTAGCATCAGTTTGTCTATCCCTCTGGTGTCTCTTCCTTGGTTTTCCCTCTATGAACTGATTTGGATAATCCCCCCCCCCTTAGGAAAAGCCCAGATTCTGAGGGTGCCCCAAGATACCCTATTCTTGGTAAAAAGGGGGGTCACTTTAAAAAACTGACTCTTGTATTTCATATACACAAAGTTCCAAAGAGAAACCTGCTCAGGGCAGTAGCATTGCATGTTATATGTGTTTTAACATACACACAAGCAACACTGTGCTACCTTTAAAAAGCCTGAGTGTGTAAGTCCTCCATTTCATCACATTGTGGAGACTTGGGAATGAGCCTTAGGTAGGTGTGAATGTGTGTCTTCCAGTCACTCTCAGTTTCCAAGTACCTCTCCACCTCTTCTGAACAGAGGTGAAGATGACAGTACTGTTGAATAGTATTCATATGTGTTTTTGTCTTAAGACTCAATCCTTTGGGGCACAGTGGCACATGCCTGTAATACCAGCAGCTCTGGAGGCTGAGACAGGAGAATCACAAGTTCAAAGTCAGCCCCAGCTACTTAGCCAGGCCCTAAGTAACTTGGCAAGACCCCGTTTCAAAAAATAAAACGGGCTGGGGATGTGGCTCAGTGGTAAAGTGTCCCTGGGTTCAATTTTCAGCTTAAAAAAAAAAAAAACTCATTCCCCATATGTAAGACAACTATTTAATTTGGGGCTGTGACAGAAGTTGCAATTTGTTCCAACACTGGAGAAAAAAAACTATTGGCCTAGATCTATGGGGAGGTGTTTCTATATAGCAGTTTAAAGATGGTTTGGAGGAATATCAAGGGGAAAATATTGGCTCTTTGATTTTGACCTTAGGCAATGACTTTGGACTTAACTCTTCTGTAAGATGAGACATTATTATATAGATTTTATTTATTTGGAAATTATATTAAATATAATTTGAAAATTATGTTAAGCAACTCATTGGTGAGGGGTAGGGTGGATGAGTGGCATTTGACTCATTATTATCAGTGCCTCCCACCATGCCTCAATAAACCCCTCCCTGCTGATTCAAGCTAATATCCATTATCTCCCCTGAAGTACCTACCTCATTAAATAATAGTAGTAGCAATAATTTCTAGAATGATTCCAAATTATTATGTGCCAGGCATTGTACAACCTTATGAGATTTCTTATACCCATATTCTAGCTGATGAAACTAAGGCCCAGGGATGACAGGTAATACATCTCAGCCACATAAGAGGCATACTTGCCAACCATGGTGACTTTTAAATACACACCACTCTGCACCACAACACATTGGAAATGGCAAGTATCACATGGACCTTAAAATTAAAGGAAAACATGCAAGCCCATAAACAAAGATGGATTGGGATTCTTAAGAACATGCAATGGGTTCATTGTTCTCATGGCCTAATTTGGTGATTCTCAAAAATGGTGGCATATTAGGTACACCTCAAAGTACCTTTATTCAGATCAGGGATGCTTCATCTTTATATGATGTGTTTGAGAACTACTGACCCTGATTTTTTTTATCTTACAAAACTTATGTTGATTTAAATCACTGTCTCTGCCTTTCTGCTCTTGACCTCAATCTCCAGGATCTGAGAACTGACAGGTCATCACCAGGAGTTCCCTCTTCCATTACTGGGTTTAAAGTCACATCTATATTGATGAAGTGAACAAAATGGAATTTTCCAGCATCAATCAGAAAGGAATATGGTCAACCAAAGCAGGTACCGTACCATCCAAGGAAGATATTAGCAGCAGTACTTTCAGGGATATGAAGTCATTCATTATTTCTTTCAGGATCCCAGGCGGAAGACATGTATCAATTGATAAGTTAGTGCTGTCTGTATTGTGTTTTGCAAGCAAGAAGGTTCTGTGGTCAGTGGAAATCTTTCCTTTGGCCTAGCTTTTTAAATCTGTTTCAAATAAAAATCTTCATTAAAAGAGAAATGAGCAAACACCACAAAATTGGAACACCTGAAGAAAGTACAGCAAGAGTGAGAATGAATAATTAAAACCAAAAATCTCTGACCTTCTGCAGTCAAGGAGAATGGTGACATTTTTGGGGAGGTGGTCTTGGCATTTGTGTTTCTGCTCAGTGTGAGAAAAATCTGATTTCAGCCCTAACACCATTTGTGAAGTTACTCTTCCCACCAAAAGAGGTAAACTAGAGCCCTAGTGGGCATACCCAGCTCTACTCTCATTTCAGTCCATGTTATAATATGTGGCTGATCCCAGCCCCTGGCTCCAGGAGAAGGCACAATCAGACTACTCTGGCCTCCTGGGCACAGTCACTGGTTCAGGGAGAAGCACAAGACCCAAGCTGGGTTGACAAAAGTATTTCCTGATACTTTTGCTAGAGCTATTGAGAAAGAAGTACACTCTCTCTTCATTAAAGTCGTTGTCAGGATGTTTATGACTAGAGTTTCTGATAGTCATCTTTGTCTAACATGGGGAAAAGTCTCCCTTGGATTAAGGCCAACATAGAAGCAAGCAGAGTTCCCCAAAAGAGAAGAGATTTCAATGACATCAACAGGAACCCTGGATTCAACTTGTACTTCTTGGTTACTTAAGCTCATAGATTCTTTTGGGTTTGAGGCATGATGAATTATATTTATGTCCCTCCATATTGAGAAATGATCATCCAAGTGATAAACATGGAAATAGCTGAGTCAATAAAAGATGATTAGAGGAGAGAACAGAGATACCTAGCCATGCAAAAGATAAGCCATACTTGGGATAATGAAGAAAGGAAACGAGCATTCTGTAGAACACAACAGAAGCTCTTCAGAAACAAATTCAACTCTGAGCTAGTTCACAGACATAGACTAAGACTTACAAAGAGTCAAAAATACCCTGATAACAGAAAACATCTCAATCCATGGGACAGGAATAGATGGAACACTTGCAAGATCAGCAAATTTAGAAATCAATTCCAGAACAAAGGGAGGTTTCTTGACTGGCTAAGAATTCTCTATGGTACCTTTAAGGGGAAAAGATAGGAGGTTTTTGTAAGAACTATCTGGCTATGTGAAGTGTTTATTAAAAAATTATGAATACTTAAGTCTCTTCTTTGTGGTGCACACCTATTATCCCAACAACTCAGGAAGCTGAGACAGGAGGATGGCAAGTTTGAGGCCAGCCTCAGCAAATTAGCAAGGCCCTAAGCAATTTAGTGAGACTTTGTCTCAAAATAAAAAATAAAAAGGTCTGGGGATGTAGCTCAGTGGTAAAGTGCCAGTGGGTTCAGTCCTCAATATCTTAAAAAAAAAAAAAAAGTCTTTTCTTTGGTAAATGTGAGAACCTTTCATTTTATAGCATGGGCTTGGGTATTATCAGCAAATCTACTTTAATTTTTATAAATTAAATGGCAACCCAGTGGATCTTGACTTCTATAACCAAGATTCTGACATGTAACTTGGGTAGAACTAGATGGCTTATTTCTAGTTAGCCGTGATATTTGCATGTCCTCATGTCCTTCTGGAGGCAGTTCCCAAATGCTCAGCCAAGAATCTGTTACACCAGAATCACTTGGGTCTTAAGCTAAACATAGATTATGTCATAGCCCCACTCCAAATCTTCTGGATTAGAATCTTTGTGGGGTGGGAACCAAGACTCTGTTTTTAAGATATGCCCCAGAAGTTTGGGAACTGCTGGGATTGAAAACTCTTGGTTGAAATATATGGTGTAATGACCCTTGAAGGGTAGGAAAAGATATCTACTGCTAATATTTTCACAGTGAAACCTAAGTATTTCCAAAACTCTAATTCATCAAAAATCATGTTTCAAAGTGCACACCATGGAAATGCAATTAACACCCTTGATAGATCAAGGGTACCTAATGTGCCCCTGGTCTATGAGCCAAACATCCCTTTTTCCACATGTTCTCTGATTCCCTTCATGTTGAGGATACATGCCTTAAAATTCACACCTACCTTCTGAGAGTAATCCGTGTTGCTCATGGTGTCCACTTTAATTGTACCTATTTGAAAAATGAATAAAGAGCTCTTGGCTTCTCCAGGGATGCTCCTCAACTATCTAATCGCCTGAAATCCACAATTCCTTATAGCATAATGGGGATGACACAGACAATGGAACTTTCTGGATGTCCTGAAAGCTCCATTCACAGGGCTGCCTCTCTGAGGTCATACACTTCCCTGAGGAGTTTCCTGGTAGAAGAGGAGAGGAAGAGGAGCTAGAGAATGAAGGGGCAACACTGGGGTTCTTCTGTTTTTTTTTGCTTCAGTTCCTATTCCTTGTAACAGTCGCTCCTCCTTTCCCTGAGCAGGTCTTCTCTTGGAACTCTTCTGGGAACACACCAAAGTTCCTGTAGAGGAAAAAATGGAAGCAGAATTAGATATTAATATAGAGAAGAGGGAGGTCTCACTTTCCCAAACAACACCCCTTGCAGCTGGGCTATTTCCCCTCTGCCTCCTCCTGGAGCAGTTCTAACTCTGGTGGATCCTGTACCCAGGCCCAGGGCCAGTAACCAGGCACCAGCGTCTGTTGCTAAGGGAAGGAGGGGCCTCTGCTATGCCTACATACAAGACTGGGCTTGACCTAGCTCCTTGTCCTGCAGACTCCCTTTGCTGGAAGCTCAGCTGGGCAGCAGGAAGTGTTGATAGCAGAAGGGACAGTGGGATGGTATTTAGCAATGGCTCAGGAATGCAGAGGTGTGGCAGAAAAAGAAGATGCCTTTGAATAGGTCTGAAAGCACTGACAAGAGGCTTCTGTTCTTGGGATCTACAGCTGGATAGGACTGGCTCAGATTTTGCTCTTCCCATTAATTAGCCATGGCTTGAGCAAATTACTTCATCTCTTCAAGTGGACTTTTCATTTGCAATAAGACAATAATGTGTTGAAGGTTTAATGAAATAATGCATATATGACAATTTGGACATATTAAAAAGATAGCCAGTCTATCCCAGTTTGGCTAGAACTTTCCCAGTTTCAACACTGTAAGTCCTGCATCCTGGGAATCTTTTCAGTCCTGAGACAGTTTGGTCTGATACAATAAGCCTTCTAAAAATGTTGCAACTAACATCAATAGTATCATAAATGTAAGCACACATGTATGCAAGTGCTAAGATTAGCGGCTGCCCAAATATTCAAAGCATTTCTTACAAGGCTGCTTTTTACAGTCCTCTCAAAACCAAACTGGACTTTTGTTTTCAATCTTCAGTTTTTCCCCAAACCCCATAATGTTCCCATTTTAAGGACAAGGAATCCAAAACAGAGAAGTGCATAACTCTCTCCAGTTGGCATGACTCATAAGCAATGCTGATAAAATCTGAATCCTGTCCTGATGACTCCAAGTCCAGTGCTCTTTCCTTGAGAAACTTTCCAGAACACAAACATTTCTGAGTTCCTTTGGAGAGCACTACATAGCACTAAGTACTTCCATTTCTTCTTTTTCTCACTGTACCCTCAAAATTGGACTCTCTGCACTTCCAAAATAACCTAACCTTCCTCATCTTTTACATGTTTCTATTTTCTACCATAAAATGTAAAAATCAGCCCTCTGTATCTGTGGGTTCCACATCTGGGGTTCAACCACTTGTGGATTAAAAATATTCAAGAGGGGAGGGGAGGGGGAGGGGAGAGCTGGGGAGGGGGGAGGGTGGAGGATGGGAAAGGCAGCGGAGCACAACAGACACTAGTATGGCAATAGGTAAATCAATGGATGTGTAACTGATGTGATTCTGCAATCTGTGTATGGGGTGAAGGTGGGAGTTCATAACCCACTTGAATCAAAGTGTGGAATATGATATGTCAAGAAATTAGTAATGTTTTGAACAACCCACAATAGAAAATTAAAAAAATAAATAAAAATATTCAAGAAACAAAATGTGTTTGTTGTTTGTACTGAACGTGTACAGTCTTTCTTTTATCATTATTTCCTAAACAATTTAGTATAACAATTACGCAGGACTTACATTATAATTGGGTATTTTAAGTAATGTATAAATGATTTAAAGTGTACAGGAGGATATGTGTAAGTTAAATGCAAATACTATACCATTTAATATTAGAGAGTTGAATATCCAAGGATTTTGGTATCTACAAGGAGTCCTGAAATCAATCCCTTGTGGATAGTGAGAGATAACTGAATACAGGTTTTAAATAGTATTTGGAATAAAAGAGCCAGTGGAAGGTTTCGAGACTTTGGCTTAGACATAAATGGGACATTTATATTTAGACATTATCATCAGGCTTCCTGTACTGCATGTGAAACCTCATATCCAAGGAAGTGAAGAATTAGAAAGGACCTGGTTCAGGGTTAATGAGACATATGACCTTGTGTGTGAGCAGGAGACAAGCTTCCATTTGAAATTTAATGTGCTTGAAAAACTAGCTGTGTTCAAAAACATCAAACCAATATGATATAATCATAATAACAATATTACTATATATGTATGTCTGTCATCTGACTTATCTTTCTTTTCAGTAATTTCCAAGAGGGCTGGGGATGTGGCTCAAGCGGTAGCACGCTCGCCTGGCATGGGTGCGGCCCGGGTTCGATCCTCAGCACCATATACAAACAAAGATGTTGTGTCCACCAATAACTAAAAAATAAATATTAAAATTCTCTCTCTCTCTCTCTTTAAAAAAATAATAATTTCCAAGAGAGGATGCAGGCCTCAAGATCTTCAATCCCCTCAATTCCAAGTGCCTAGGTTTGCCAGATAAAACCACAGGATGCACGGTTAAATCAGAATTTCAGGTAAACAATTTCTCAGGATAAGTATGTCTCATTCAATATTTGGGTGATACTTATATCAAAAAGTTATCTGTTGTTTACCTGAAATTGAAATTTAACTGAGTGTCCTATTTATATTTGCTAAGTCTGCTAACCTGGGAGGAGAGTTCAGTCAGGTCCACAGTTGGTTCTGTCTCTGTGGTACTAACAGTTTAGAGGCTCAATCTGTTGCTGGGGAATTTTCATACATGCCTTATTCAGAGCCAAGTGTTCCTGGTAGATCTTTTCTGAGACCTGAAATTATTGCTTAACTAGAGCCAAGTGTCTTAGTCCACTAGGGCTTCTAGAACAAAGTGCCATAGACTAGGTGGCTTATAAACAACATAAATTTACTTCTCTCAGTTCTGGAGGCTAGGAGGCCAAGCTCTGGGTGTCAGCATGGTGGTGTTTGGGGGTGGGCCAGGAGGGGGATTGTTCCTGTGAGAAGCCCTCCTTCCAGGTTGCAGACTGTCAACTTCTTGTATCTTCTTCTTCTCATGGCAGAAAGAGGCAATAGAGATCTCAGGGGGTCCTTTTATAAGGACACTAATGCCATTCATAAGAGCTTCAATTTCATGAGCTAAATAATGTCCCCACTTCCTAATCCATCACATGGGACAAAGGACTTCACCATGTGAAACTGGGAGGAACACATTTAGTTCGCTGCAGCAAGTTATTGTGGAAAGGAATAGGGAAGGCTGCAAGTGGACTTTTAAAATTGATCCATTAAATGTTCATCAAAAGCCAAGACCTGATGCTATGGGAAGATGCTGGATCCACACCATTGACAAAAATGCCAAAGGTGGGAGGAACTCGAGGATTCACAGAGGTGCCCCTAGATGGCGCCATAAACACAAAGCCCAGTGGAAGCCCAATTCAGCTTTCCAGTGTGAGGTCCACCCAGAGAGTGAGGATCACAAGGCCTTAGTGAAAAAACAAATGAATCTTTTCCTGGGTGGGGAACCCATCAAATTACAGCTGAGCAAAGTACACAAAGCCAGCAAAATAGCCTGAAACTTAACAATTTAGGGATAGACACTTGTCTATCCCAAGGTTTCCTATGTCCTCTGTTAGCTTCCCTTTTCTTTTGTTATGGAAGACATAGAGCAGGATCCCTTGGTTTATCTTTACCACCACCACCATCATCATTCCTAAATTTATTTCCCTATCTACCTGCCTAGTTATTTTTAGAAATATAAGGTGGTAGAAGTAATTACACACTTGAATATTTTTGAAGCTCTACTATGTGCCCAATAGTGGCTACGTTCTTGACAGCCATTGTTAGCAGTCCTCACTAGAACCTCTCTTTATGTGACCTCTCTTTATCTTATGGGTTGTTTTCCAGGTGGATATAGACACAGGCCACAGAAAAGAAATGTCTACCAGGTCCTTGGAAAGAAAGAGCCTGAAAATTATTCAGTAGCAACTAGCGCCTGGGTTTTATGGATGAAAAAGAGTTAACTCCTCCCAGGTAGCACAGTAAGAAACAGCCATGGGGCCACAGCCCAGGACTGCTGGACCTCAGCCTATGGTCTTTAGTCCTATGCTCAATGACAGTGACTCTCAAACTAGAATGATTTTCTCCTGCTTACACCCCACCCGTTAGGGTCATTTGTGGTTGTCACGGCTGAAGGCGGGGGGCTGTTACTGGTATCTATTGGTTAGAGGCAGAGATGCCACTAAATATCCCACAGTGCTCAGGTCAGCAACAGAATTTCTGTGCCCAGAAATATGGTTGTCCCACCTATAATGGTTATAGCACTGCTATTGAGAAATCTTCTCCTCAGGTCTGGATATAGGATCAGGAAACATGGCTTCCTCGTGAACCCTGGGATTTGGGTTTATTTACTTTTTCTCTCTGTAAAATGGAAATAATAATACAAATCCGTCCGTCTCTAAGGTCCCCACTGGCAGATGACATTTGCATCTGAGGAGTAATGGTGAAAACCCTCCCGTCAAGGCGGGTTCTTCATTACGCGTTTCTACCTCCGGAGACGCTTCTAGAAGAGGTGGTTCTGGCTGTCTTGGAGGGGAAACCCTCCATTCTCAGCTGCCATTCTATACCTGCCTGGGGGTACCGGACAATTTTTACTCCAAGCCATGGGTGTAGGAGAGATCTCTAAGTCTCAGAATGCTCTTCTCTAAACCTCTCAGAACTAGTCAGGGTGGCTCCACAGGTGTGTGGAGCGCGCGCTCGCACAAGCTTCGGCACCGCGGATCGGC